CCAACAGAAGCTTATATCTCATCGTCTCTCCCAGAAATGCTTACGTACTTGCGCGAGATGAGTAAAGGTATATCTTTAGATAACAAATCCTCGATGACGCGATCCACATATAAGGTTTGACTTAATCGTTATAAGTAATACCTTTAATTGAGTATAAATTGTAATACACATAAACACACAAATGTATAAAAAGCATTAACAATATTAAAGAAAATAACAAAATTATTCTGTATCCACTTATGTCGAAACATGACATCATAAATTTGGCAAATTTAAAATTTCATTTTAAGGCAAATAAATCCATTTTAAAGGCAACATTTCACAAATCCGTTACAATTATTTTAGGGTTAATTTTTAAATAACAAATTTTATAGATAAAGATACAAAATATTTGCGAGACAGAAGACGAAGATAGTGAGAAAGAAGTGTTAAAAAGAACGATAATAAAAAAAGACTTTAGAGTGTTAAAAGTAAGAAAGAAATATACTCATTCAAAGAATATGTAAACATTCTGGATTTTATGTTGTAAGTAAACGCCAGCCGAATACTGATTAGGAATGATACAGAGAATAATAAAAAAATAGAAGTTGATTAATTTTCAGATTAAAATAAAAAATGAACATTTGTGTGATAAATCTCTAAGATGTTTTTATTTAAAGTTAGCTTGAAAATAAAAAAAATTAGTTTAAGAAAAAGTTAAAGGTATTGATTAAGTCAAGTCACGAAACCACTTGTCCTAACCTCTCAGTCTAAGGTCATTAACATTTAATCACCCAATTATTATTAGCATAAATAAAGAATATTTACAAGACTTAAAAATGTGATTAATTTCAGTTGTAGTAGAAAGGCTTTTATCATGCAAAAAAGGTAAATTTAAAAATTTTTAAATTATAGCAAATTGATTTGGCAAGTTTATATCATGGTTGAATATACATACCAAGTTCTTTATTCTTAAATTTAAAATTAAATATATCTAAATAGAACGTAGATTTCCTAAATATTATTATATTTTCTGGATAATTACGTTTGTCTTGGTTTATTAAACTAAATTATCTCATTTCGTTTATCCAAGTCCACATAAACTAGCGCCACTCGTGTTAACTATGAACTGCCAACGCTTACTAATTCTCTTAATATCCTTTTCTCCTTTAGTTCTCTCGCAGATTCGTAATACTAAAGTTTTTCGTACTATTAATCTTGAAACTCAACTTGTCCGCGTCAGAAATGAAATAACGCTATCTCGCAATGGAGATTCGGAATACGTGTTTACAGTTGAAGAAGAGCCCGCCAAGAATCTAGCATTCATATCCGCATACGTAAATTGGTTCCTGATTCTACTTTGTTTATTAAGATTGATGGAAAGCCAGGCGTAATCCGGAAGGAATCATCTGAAAAGTACGTTTCTCTATTTTCTTTATTCCCATAGGCATGATCGCTTTATAATCACTCTCACCGGGTCATCTGGTTCCATAAAACTTACAATAAACACTGTATTTGCTGGGATTCTTACTCCAAAGCCACCATTTATAGCACAAGCTGAAAAACAATTCGTTAAATACATTGGCAATGTGTTTTTGTATTCTCCGTATGACACTGAAACGCAACAGACCCTCGTTATTCTACCTAAGGGAGAAGTCCTTTCGTACAATGAAAATGAAGTGCCAGTTTCCAAGACTTCCGAAAGACTAACGTATGGTCCATATTCTTCCAGGCCTCCTCATTCCCATGTAATTTGCTATTAACTGATTTTCAGATTCCCTTGATAATTCATTACGAAAGTAGGGCACCTTTCTTAACCGTTACCTCTTTGCTACGTCACATTGAAGTATCTCACTGGGGAAATATTGCAGTGGAAGAAACAATTGAGATAATTCATCATGGAGCCAAACTGCGAGGGCCATTCTCGCGATACGAATATCAGCGGGGTATTGGCAAGCACGCATCTGTAGAGTCGCTCAAAACATTGCTCCCTTCCTCTGCCAAAGACGTTTACTACAGGGATGAAATCGGAAATATCAGCACAAGTGATATCAGAGATGCTTTCGATGCGATTGAGCTGGAATTGCGCCCGAGATTCCCTCTTTTTGGAGGTTGGAAAACCAAATACACTATCGGTTACAACGTTCCCGCGCACGAATACTTGTACAGAAAAGGTAATTCTTTTAGAGAATTAATTTTCCAGATGATCAATTCGGACTGAGAATGAGACTTGTTGACCATATCTATGATAGTCAATACGTGAAAGAAATAATTGTCAAAGTGGTACTCCCTGAGTCAGCCTACGATTTATCATTGCGTAAACCTTATCCCGTGGATGAATCTCATGAAGTCTTAAAGACATACCTTGATACATTTGGCAGACCTGTTATCGTTCTTAAGTCTAACGATCTTGTCGAGGAGCATATTCAGGACTTTTCGGTACTCATTTATTTGCGACTTATCGTTAGATATTTTACCGCTTCAACATGTTTAATATGATCAGAGAACCGATGATGATCACAACGGCTTTTATGGCCATTTTTATTTGTGCAATTATTTATGTCAGATTAGATTTCTCTTTATACAAGGTACATTACTAGTTTTTGAGTATAATTACAATAGGACGAAACGGGCGAAGTAAGACTTAAGACACAGACAATCGTGGATGAAGTCCAATCCATACAGGAAAAAAGGACCGCTCTATATCAGGTCTATGTAGACGCGATCTCGAGATACAAGTTTTCTAAGGACATTTCCCGATTTAACACGGATCGCCGGAAAATAGAGACAGATCAAAAGGCGCTAAGCCACAAGCTTAGCGCACTGCAGACACAAATGTCAGAATGTTGGAGCGAAGGAGCAGAAAAAGTAAGTGGCTCATCTCATTTCTTCATATCTGTCTCCAGAGAATAACGCAATTTCTATATTTGTTTCAGCTCAATGACCTCCAAAGTTTGGACCAGCGCTATCGAGAACTTATGAACGAGAGTGTTCAACTTGCTGAACGTCTTCTTGCGAGTAAAATCACTAAGCCTCAATACCAGACCCTGGAAGGTGACCTGACAGCCAAGAAGCTAGATCTGATTGAGAAGATAAGCCACATCATGGATAATTTGTGAATATGGCTCGTATAAATAATATGGTCAAAATTTGTTTTAATTAAAAAAATGTTGGTAAAAAAATTTGTTCATGGTTTAAAAGAGCGGCTTAATTTAACGGGTTCTCGGCGATTACTCTATTCTGGATATGAAAATAGGATCCATGTTGTTTGACTGTTGAA